TCTTGCTCTAGCAACTTTCTGAGGGTTATATGGACAAAAAGACAACAACTGAAAATAATTTTGGCAGGAAAATATTAAAGGATTAATCTGAAACACATTTCTTTGAACTATAGTGGTAACCCACAGATCAGAGCCAATCTGCAATGTTTTCAGGAAAGTGTCATTTTTTTTCTTCTGAATTTGGCATTGAATTGAGTGTGGTACTAAACTGAAATAACTCAAATAACAATAAGAATTATATATAATAATGATGTAACACAAAAGTTTGAGTTTGATAACTTGAAAATCATATGGCTATAATCATTGCTGCTTTATAAGGGCAGTGCTATATTGAGGTTTGACTGTAGTACTGTCCCCACTCATTGGTCTAACAAATCAAATAAATTGAGCAGCACTGCTTTAGACCATCAGTGGACAAATGAAGCCATATTATTAGCTTTAAATTATAATCTATGTAAATTTTATTCACATTTAATTTAAATATTCATTATCTATAAAAAATATTCACAAATCAGAAGAAACAGTAAAATTTCTTCATTGTGCCCTCCTTCAACAACCTCAGGAACACAACAGTCATTACAGGTTGAGTTGGCCTCAGCCATTTCATTAGTTAATTAATTATATATGTTAATATATTTAAAAAGTTTCAGTTTCGGGGCTGGCAATACTGCATTTGTTTATTGATTAAAATATATAACATTGTATTTTTTGTATTCTCAATCACTTTACCTGTTACATTTTAGAGCAGTTCTCCGCAACATTTCCACAATCATGACACACAAGTAGAAATATTCAAAAATACAGGAGTTACAAAGCACATACCAAAAATACTGATTTGCTGCTTTTTTACTTGTGATAAGCAAAATTTAATAGCATCAATTCCCTAATATACAAACTTCCTTGCAAAAGTTCATAAATTTTCGACAAAAAGCACAGGAGTTATTAAACTTCAAAAATAGTGAACAAAATCGTTCCACTCCCCACACATACACCATAGATACAGAAAAATCTCCCCTTTTTTGCATTTTTCGACGTTTCAAGGACTGAGGTGTACTGTGAGCCGATTCTGGACTCCAGCTAAGCTGATCTGAAAGTCGAAATTCTGAGCTGTAGTTCAGCTCGGCTAATTTGATTAAACTCTAATATTGTGTATTAAATGAATAATGTTTGGGTAAAATATATACGAGTAAATGCAACATTATTAAATGTGGTATCTTACCTCGATTGTCGAGGTAAGACGCCTAATTTGTGTATAAAAACAAAATTCATTATTACAGAAACAGAGCTGTTCTTTTGTTGTCCTGTGCGAATACGTAATTTCGAAATACCTTCCAGAATTTGGTATTTATATCTAAAGCACACAAATAAATAAACTGTATCTGACACTTCCAACAAAAACAAAAAATTAGTCATTTTCCCTGATTCCCTTATCAATCCTTCCGTATCTATAAATAAAATTAAATAGANTGTATCGTTAAAAATTATTTTTTTATTTTGTACAAACAAAATAAATATATTGAAAAATATAAAAACAATAAAAAATTATACTTCAGATGTTAATTTAGTATCAAAAACGTAAAATATTTGAGTAGCCCAAGACATAGCCAAAGATTACAGCGCCACAGCACTGACGAAAATTTAAATTTACCGACTGGAAATCTTTCGGATGATTGACTTTCGGAAAATCGACGCTCTACTGTAATACAATTATTATAATTCAGAATAATAGATATATGACTTTCTAACATATAGTATTAATACAAATTTATGTTAAACTTTTATAGTTTAATGAGTATTTTTTTAACTTACTCGAAAAGTTGAACTTTCATATATTATTTACAATTTATGTTGTAAGAACACATTATATCAATTTCTAGATTATTTTTTTTATTCAAGAAACAAAATTACATAGCTTATTTATAAATAATCAATACCAAAAGTGTAACATCAAATTTAAAATTCATAATTTTTAGCAGCAGTAATTATTTTTGTATTTATATATAAATACAGTAGAGCATCGTTTATCCGAATCATTTGGGGACTGGGTTGTTCAGATAACTTATTTTTCGGATAACCGATTATGTACAAAAAAATACTTTAACCTATCCCATGTTGAAATTTTTCTCCATTGAGTGTTGCTTTGCATTGAATTTTCGTCGATGTTAAGCCAAACATAAACATTTAAAATAATAATTGTGGCTATTGAACCGTTAAAAATTATTTCTTTATTTTGTACAAACAAAATAAATATATTGAAAAATATAAAAATTAAAAAAAAATATACTTTAGAAGTTGATCTAGTATCAAAAACATTCGATTCAGCACCACACACAGTCCTCAGAAAAACACAACACAAAAGTGCCAGTGCTGCCAGCTAAAACACACACACCAACAAAAAAAATATTGGAGTAGCCTAAGATATAGCCAAAGATTGCAGCACCACAGCACTAGCGAAAATTTAAATTTGCGGACTGGAACTCTTTCGGATAAACGACGCTCTACTGTAATAATTATAAAGATCATTACTTATTTTGAGCTCATCTAATTTAAAATTTAAAATGAAATCAAATGGTAACTACTTGATTTCATTTCAATTATAAATGAAATGTACTGTACATATTTAAAAATATATAAAGAAATTTTTAAAAGCAAAATGTAAGAAATTATTTTATAATGAATCAAGATAATTTTATTCAAATTAATGNAAATTATTTTTTTATTTTGTACAAACAAAATAAATATATTGAAAAATATAAAAACAATAAAAAATTATACTTCAGATGTTAATTTAGTATCAAAAACGTAAAATATTTGAGTAGCCCAAGACATAGCCAAAGATTACAGCGCCACAGCACTGACGAAAATTTAAATTTACCGACTGGAAATCTTTCGGATGATTGACTTTCGGAAAATCGACGCTCTACTGTAATACAATTATTATAATTCAGAATAATAGATATATGACTTTCTAACATATAGTATTAATACAAATTTATGTTAAACTTTTATAGTTTAATGAGTATTTTTTTAACTTACTCGAAAAGTTGAACTTTCATATATTATTTACAATTTATGTTGTAAGAACACATTATATCAATTTCTAGATTATTTTTTTTATTCAAGAAACAAAATTACATAGCTTATTTATAAATAATCAATACCAAAAGTGTAACATCAAATTTAAAATTCATAATTTTTAGCAGCAGTAATTATTTGTGTATTTATAATAAAATAATAATTATAAAGATCATTACTTATTTTGAGCTCATCTAATTTAAAATTTAAAATGAAATCAAATGGTAACTACATGATTTCATTTCAATTATAAATGACATGTACTGTACATATTTAAAAATATATAAAGAAATTTTTAAAAGCAAAATGTAAGAAATTATTTTATAATGAATCAAGATAATTTTATTCAAATTAATGATAATCAATAGCAATGCCATATATTTCTGTATGTCTGTCTACATAATTTCATGAATTTAGCTCCAATATTTGTGCTGTATTTTATAAAAAGTTCAACATAAATTTTTTATAAAAAATAATAATCTCTGATATTTTGATTCATTTGTTCTGCTAATTCCAATTTGATTGTATTATATAGCAAGTTTTCTTGTGCTTAATTGATGCTTAATTGTTATGAAATTTGTTAATAGAATTTTTGTAAGTGAAACACCCAGTTCTTTTAAATTTCAACATAAATTAATTATTATGATTTTTCATTAGGTTTAATATCTTAAAATCTAATGTAAATATAACTGGATAAGAAAGTTTTAAGAATAGTCATCATCAGGCTTCAATTAAATTTAAAAAATGGTGAGGGGGCGTGTCTAGCCGGCAAACCTTTTGGTGACTTTTCTGTTGAACCTTTGAGAATAAGTTGGTTATGGAAATTCTAAAGAAAAGTGTTAAATATCAAGTTAAAATAAGTATTTTCGTTGGAACTATTTATGGATCAATCGTACATCAGTGAACAGCAAAATAATTTATTAATACAAAGAGTAATGGAAAACTCTATCATCCAAGATATCGATGACATACGGAAACGTAATAATACAAGTTGGTACAAAATAATTTTAAATTACCCATCAAATAATAGTTATATGCTTACAAAGCTTGCATTAATGTTAAAAAATTTTTTATTCAGTTAAGACTAAACAAAAACTGGATAATTATAAATGATAAATTCCTAGAATACTCTCAGACCAAATGCCCAAGTTGCAGTAACACATTATCAAAATTTCATATTCTTTGTGAAAATTGCAACAAAAATGAGAACATGCAAAAAGCTGATATTGGTCGATTAGTTAACTGCTCTAATGAAACGGATATGTATAAGTTCCTTGACAAAGCAGACATCAATACTATCTTTAAGTTATATAACTGGTCTAAGCAACTTGTGAATAAAAACAGAATAAACTAGTAAATGTATGTACTGTACTACATATTAGATAAACAATGTTAATTATCTATATGATTAAGATTCTAATGGTGGTGGATAAATATGTTGTATATATAAATCACGCCCTTGTAACAGGCGAAAGCCTTATATGAAAAATAAACTTTGATTTGATTTGAAAGTAAACTAATCAAAAAACTAACCCATGAAAATAATCTACATAATAATAATCATTTGTGCTATTGACTGCAATCAAAGTTAACTATAATTAATAATTTTATTAAATTTTCTTTGAAGTCAATTTAGTAATTTTCACAATTAGCATCAACTTTTTTTTTTCTTTATAAATATACTGAGTATTATTATTTATAAATTGATTATTTGGCCTTCTCATCAAATTTTGCTTCATATATTGATATTTTTCTCATATAATCTTTTAATGCTTAATTTAAGCAAAAAATTTCTTGATACAGTGGATATTTGTTTAATGGTTAAAATATAAGATGTGTATAATTTTTGTAAAATCTGTTATATTCAAATTTTGCATTTTTGTTAAATGCAAAACTTGATAAAAATTTACTCTAGGCATAATTTATTTTTTTGTTTATTAATTTTTAAAATTTCTATGTTCAACTTTTGTTATGGATTATTATATAGATGAATATGTGCACACTTGTGAAAATGTCCAACACAGCAGAATTTGCTCAAACACAGATATATAATTATTCTACTTCTAATAGAAATTACTTAATATAATGTTTAATTTTCACATAGATTTCAACTGTTCTGTATTCAATTTCTTTCTTTTAAGTGCTATTAATTTTTTCTTTTATCTTTCCGCTTTTATTTCTAAATCTTCAAAAAGCTGAAATAAAAAATAAAATTATATATTTTTATTTTAAAAAATTATGTTTAAATAATAACCATCTTACATTTTTTCATATGCTAATTTCTCTGGATCATATTTCCATACATCACGCATTGATTTCTTCATACCTGTATTGCTAACAGGTATTTCTGTTGAAAGAGGAGGATAAGTTGTCAAACCAAACATAGCTGCTGTATGAATATCTCCATTATTGTCTGTAGATTTCTATTTTAAAATTTATTATTAAATAAAACTTAAATTAAAAAAACTTTTAAATATATTAAATTAGTATAATATACTTCTTACTTTTGATTTTGTAGATGAATGTCCTGATACAAAGGAATGTTGAGTAAAAGTGGGTGAATTAATTTCTTCTATAGCATGAGCACGTTTAATTTGTTCTGCAACAGAAGCAACATTTGTTTTTTGACTTGGAGTGGTATCTTGTAATAAACCTTTTTCTCTCAATTCTGCATCTGCATTAGCTAATTTTTTAAGAAAAATGTAAATATTAGCTTACAATGTTGAACTTATACAATTTATTTAGAAATTTTTTAGTTACATTCATTAACAAATAAAACATTAAGCCTCCATCATTAAGTAAATAATATTCAGAATTAATGAGCTGACATAAGACATCTATTTAAACAGATTTTAACAGATATTGTATTAAATAAGTATCTGTTAAAATCATCTGTCAATATGACGTAGAAGATATGACATTCAGATGTATAGATCACATGATTCCATTCTATCTTTTTGGTTTTAAAAATCATTCTAAACGAATATTTTTTTGTATTTAGTAAATTTTCAAATGATTTTTGCCTGAAGATGGACCCAGGAGGGGTCTGAAAACGTTTGTACTGTTAAATTTTTATTTTGCATCGGTTAAAGGTTTTTCTGAGGTATGTGTTATTTAGTTAAATCCGATGTGCAGGTGATAATTATTATTAGATATTGTATTATATCAACATTTTCCAAACTGGGATTTGTGGACCCTCGGGACACACAAAACATTAAGAAGATATCTAGTAACATAGTATGTTTTTAGGAAAATAAATATAATAGAATTACAAGTTTCATTACAGAACATTACTTATTATTGATTGACATGATCAGTATGATTACAAGTTACTTCCCTGATAGAGCACATTCAACAACAACCATATATATATAAATACATAACATGCCTATATATAGGGATCTGCAAGTGGTCGACAGATAATTGGAAACTGCCATATTACAGTATCATGTTATCTGTTAGTAAAAACGTTTGTATTTTCAATGGACAAAGAATATCTAAATCAATGATATGGAGTCTAAATCTAATAAATCACATTATAATCAATTAATTTTGAGTATAATCTATTCCAGTGTTTTTCAACCTTCTTGAATACGCGACCCCTTTATAAGTTAAAAAATTCTGGCGACCCCCCTAGGGACATATTAAAACTATATTAGTGATTTTAAAAACTATGTATTTAATTTTCTTTCTGTTAAGACAAGTTATTGTTGATTAAAGTGAAAATCTCAGAAGAATCGACAATAACTTAACACACAAAGGTTTTTTTATTTTTTGTTTTTGTTTTGTTTAGGATCAGAATTTTCAGCTTCTACTTTTCTACTTTTTATTTCTTTTTGCAAATCACCTCAACACTTTTTCCGCTATCATTTTCTGGGGTGAGCCGTAATTCTCGCTGAAACTGTAGTTTTTTTAATGTAGTGTAGGACCTACAAACACTTGTCTTTTTCTTTTACCCGCGACCCCCCGTGTAAGGCTTCGCGACCCCCCTGGGGGTCACGACCCACAGGTTGAAAAACACTGATCTATTCCATTTAAACTTACTATTCCAACAAATCAGTTCACTCTGGTTTGCCTGTTTCTATCCTGTCCTTGAAGCCACATGAGATATTGAAGTTTTTTGTGGTATTTTTTTTCTAAGTGTACTGGAGACCAATTCTGCCAGTAGTACAACCCATACATTGATTTCTTGTAGCAATTTTAGGCCTGTTTATATAGACTAAGTTATCTTCCAAAGAAAACTAGCTCATCTGATAACAAGTATCTTTGTCTTCTAGCAATGCATATTGTCTTTGTGAGACACATCAATCTAATTCTTGTTATAATAAGGTGCATTTCACAGGGCATGGAATGTTGTAGATAGAAGTTGGAAATAGATCTTGAACTTGCATTATTTTAAAAAGATTAAAAAGATATATTCAAATGACCAGCTTTTTGTAAACTTTGACTGGCATAGGTGTGTTAATAATCTAGGCATAGTAATAAACTAGATATGATGAAAATGTTTTAATTCAATTTTTGGTTTGAGTGCTGTTTTTTTATGGAATTGTACAACAATACTTCAGAAAATATTAGAAAATTTTAACTACTTATAAACTGTGCTTTAAACCACAGCTACTATATAGATAAAAAGAAATCACGAGTGTTATCATATCAACACAATGACCACTACTTAACTATATTTAACTTATAAGTAAATTTAAATTGTATGCTATATAAAATAATAATTTAAAATTAAATGTTATATATGAAATATCAATAATAATTTATAATTACATATTTTATAATTGTTAATACATATATAATTATATTAAATGTAATAAAAATTTTAATTATTTTAGGAGAAATTGAAAATGGTGTTGAACATCTTAGTAATGCTGTAGCAGTATGTGGACAACCCCAGCAATTGCTTCAAGTATTACAGCAAACTCTTCCTCCACAAGTGTTCCATATGCTAATACAAAGATTACCAGCAATTAGTCAAGTAAATATTAATTATAATACTAGTTCTTATAGTAACTGAGAACATACAAATGAATTGAATTTTTATAACTAATGAGAATTTCTTGCCTAATTAGTACCACATTTATATAAATTAAGATGAGATAACCTAGACCTAATACAGAGGTGAAGTGAGATATGATGTTTCAATAAAAATGGAGTAATAGCAATAATAAATGTTCTGAATAAGATTAATTTCTATATTTATTTTAGACAATACTTTCAACTATCATATTACTTCAATTGAAACAATGGAAAATGAATCTTTGACTATAATTATGTAAATGTTTTTAAACTAATTTTTTAAACTAGTTTACAATTCATTTGTTGCTGGAATAATATTAAATTATACATATTTTAAATAAAACTAATAAGAAATTAAACACACAATTGATTTATAATGATTGTAACAATTTCTTATTTTTTATGTAGTGTTAAAAATATTAGTTAATAATACAAATATATTAATTATGCTAATTGATATTTTTCTTATATACTTGATAAAATAACTTATATTGGATCAAATAAAAGAAAATTCTCTAATCTCTTAAATTTTTATTATGCTCATATTGTTTTAATAGTTGTTTGTTTTTGGTTATTATTTTATTTAGTGTATTGTATAAGAAAAATATTATAAAAGAAAGCAAATTATAGATTTATTAATGATTCATTGGATACAGTACTGATATTCAATAAAAGCTGGCAAGGGCTGCTGTTTAACTTTCCTGGCACTCAAACAGGAGATTAATGGGACCATTGAGAAGTCTGATAATTTTCAATTATACTATAATATAAATTTAAATAACAAAAACCTAAGAATAATAATTTTGTTGAATTATGAGAAATTTCTCTATTTCAAAAACACATTTAAATTTAAAAAATACTAAGAGACATTACATAAAATTAAAATTGCATGTACTGTCATCTGTTATGAGATTTTATTACAAAATCAATTTTATATTATTAATTGTTATGAAAGACAAAGGTTTAATTTTCAGGATAGAGATGAGTTTTAAAAAAATTGTTAATGCCAATAACAAGTAAAATTTCATTCTGACTCCAATTAAGATATGACATGTGAACCCCTCTATCTCTCCACCTTCTTGAACTACCACCAAAATTTAATAGCATCAATACCCTATTTACCATACTATGCCAAATTTCAAAATTTTTGGTTTATCCAGTTTAGATATAATGCAAAATAAATGATAAACACAATTTTGTAAGATTTTTTCTTCTGCATAAATGCTAAATGAACCAGGGGTCAAAATTTGATCAATCACTATACTTTCCCTGTTATATTCTATAACAGCCAGGAAAGTAAAAATGAGTTTATTATATTATATAAGTAAAAAAGACCATAAAAATATCGAGATTAATAAATAGGTTGTATAATTGAAATAGATAAACTAAAGCAAATAATTCCAAATAATCAGAAATTGGTGTAACATGTAATGGAAAGTAAAATATGCGAGAAACAAAATTATTGTAATGATGAAAATCTGATGACTGTATTATATCATTATTTTTTTTTTTCTATGTTATGAAAGAGATTATTCGAAGAATTTGGAAATTTGAATTGAAACTTCTTATGAAATATGTAGAATTTTATTTTGTAATAAATTATTTATTCTGAAGAAATTTTGAAACCAAAATAAACTAAATATTCCTAAATTAGAGCCACCGCAAACTAGCGCTTTGCGAGAGCAAAACGCTAGCAAATGTGCACTAGCACAACTGATGATGTTAAAGGCTTCCGCCCCTTTCTTCTTGCTAGCGCAGTGATACGAGAGTATGCTTGCTGTTGACAGAATTCAACAGCTAGAGCAGTCACGCTAGCAAGAGAGAGTGGGGAAGATGGATGACAACATGAACATGTCAAAAAAGAAATAATAAAATTTTATTGATGTACTGTACGTAAATTACATGATTAATACATTCAGTATTGAAAAGAAAATAGTATAAACGTTGTATGTAAATAGTAATATATATATAGTTTTTGGCTAGTTAAGCCTAATTCGGCTTAACTAGTAAACATGTTTTCCCATGCTGTTTCAAAGTTTGGAATGAAAACTGACTGATTAAAAGTATAGGTTATAATAAAATCTTTGTTCTATAGCCAATCCACATCTATAAATCCAAGTCATGCAGATTACGTTACACGAGCAAATGTTGTGTAGTTTGCGGCTGCTTTTTGCCCGTGTAGCTTACATAGCAAAAATGGCTCATAGCCTCATGGAAAAAAAAATGGGGCTTGGGAGCGCAATCGAGCGTACACTAGCTCCTGCATCCTGTAGATTGCGGTGACTCTTAGATAACAGTTCATCTTAATTCTGTTAGGCATATTGATTACATCCGTCAACAGAAAAAATATATAGATAAAATATTGAGTTATATACCTGTCTCATAGTAGCATTTAAGAGACTAATGACCTATCTTCTGATACTCTCTAATTTATAAATAATTAAAAACAAGGGATAATGTTGATGGCATCAATATATTGTGCATTTATGAGCTAATCACAAAGAAGAAAATATAGAGAAACAAGATTTTATAGAAAATATTGCCTGTAAACTGATAAAACTTTAGATTCTGATATTGATATCCCAAATATTCCTTCTGAAATATGAAGAAGGGCAAGATTTTTATTGGGAAATGAAGAACTTCAAAACATTACTCATGAAAAACTACATGGTATTCTGGGTTGATGTAATATAAAGATATCAGTATAATAAATGTGTGGTTCTACACTAAATATATTTGATGAATCTATGATGTTTATATGGAATACTGAGTTTAAACCCTTTATTTTTAGACTTATAACACCATTAGTATAAGAATATGTAAGGAGATTTCTTTGGTAGACTTGTTAAGTGCTTCTGCTCAGGCTACTCTTCTTACATATTGACTACACAGGAAATAGTGTGATGGACCTCCCACACAAGGTTAAACTGACAAAGCAGTTGCATAGTGTGAGAATGAGGACGATGTTTTTATTTTTTCACTAACTGCGTAGTTAGTGAGAGTGACTTTCGTCGTCCGAAGGTCATCGACGAGGGACCACGATGTCACGTGACCGGACGCTAAAAATGACCAAATAAGGAGTTTTCTACGATGCGGATATAGTATAGAAAATTTCCTAAAAAGGTCATCTGTACGATGAGAAACATTACCTAAAATGGTAAGTCATCTCCCTAGGTGATGACGAATTTAACATTAATTGGTCAAGCGATGTCTGCATTGTCGTCACCCACGACGGGGGAGACTGTCATAAATCTGGAGAACTGTCAAAAGAGTAGCAGATTTTCCCACGCTAAAGAGTATATAAAGGGGTCGGATTTTCTACTCGGGGCTGAGCCAGGGTGCTTAAGCCGAAGAAACCCCTCTGCAAACCTCAAGAGCGATCGTCGGGGAAGAAACATCGACGCA